ACCATAGACTTTGTATGTAAACCTGATGCTCCTGATGCTGAAATCGCGTTTGGTGTGAACGCACCATTAATGTCTTGAAATATGTGTGTGCTGCTTTAAAGCCTGTTTTGACCACAAACTACATCTCCCATAATTTATGTTATTTATTTTTCCCAGGAATTGACGGCATCCCACCACTAGGTGAAGGTGCACACGGTTCAAGTAGCTGGAAGACGGCTCATTTTCCTGCTGCCCAGTTGTACTGAAAAGTGGGAATTTCCCACTTACAAGTCATATTTAAACTGGAACACCCCTCCAGTGGGAATTTCCTGTTGGAAAATGAAAGAATTCAGATTTCAAGAAGACAACTATTTACAAAAACTCATCAGTGAGTAAAACCATCTGAAAAAAATCTTAATTTTACTTTTAAAAGTATTTCTGTTATTTATTTCACTTTTTGTCAGTTGTACATATAGTACTTTTCAGTGTTTATAAGACGCCATGTTGAAACACTGTTTCTATGCAGGAAATACCATGTAGAGCTCAGTTATTGTTTGATAGTGCTCAGCCGTTGTAGTGAGACGAGGAACGTGACATTCAGTCCAAGTTAAACATGAAACCCTCTGTGAAAATAAGCTTGACACCCCTGTAATAAGTTCATTATAAAAGGGTCCTTTTAAACTATGTTTAAATAATGATAAAACACATTTCAAAACTTAATATTTAATAGAAATATGTGCTAGCAGCACAGTATTTTTTAGCGAGTTTGCATGTTCTCTCCGTGCATGTGTGGGTTTTCTCTAGGCAATCAGGCTTCCTCCCACAGATCAAAAACATGGCCGTTAGGTTAAGTGGTAAGTTTAAATTGTCCCTAGGTGTGAGTGAGAGTGAATGGTTGTTTATCTATACGTGTGGCCCTGTGATGGACCTGTCCAGGGTGTACCCCGCCCCTCGCACAGTGACTGCCGTGGGCACCAGTGACCCCTGTGACCCTGAAAGGAAGAAGTGGATGTAGATAATGGATGGATGGAAGGCTAAAATCAGTGAAAAAAAGACCTTTAATTCTATTTGATTTACAACATTKTTATGAATTATAGATGATAAATTCTACCAGGTTGTTAATTTCATCATTCATTTAAATTGTTTTAGTAACAGTGACAAAGACTTTAACTATTGCTGGTTGAAGAAACAAGAGCAATATGGCAAGACAAGCATGCATTTTTGTTCAATTGAGGTGGCTCAGGCATCTGGTTAGGATGCCTCCTGAACGCCTCCTTGGTGAGGTGTTCTGGTGACGTCCCACTGGGAGGAGGCCCAGAGGAAGACCCAGGACACGCTGGAGGGACTATGTTCCTTGGCTGGCCTGGGAACACCTTGGGATTCCCCCGGACGAGCTGACCCAAGTGGCTGGGGAGAGGGAAGTCTGGTTCTCTCTGCTGCCCCCGTGACCCGACCCGGGTGTGGAAGAAAACAGACGGACGGACGGACTTTTTGTTCATTTATTTTATTAATGTGTTTATTCATTTTACTAGGGGTGTACATCAAGAACCAAATCCAGAATTTCAGGACGTTTTTTTAGGTTACTGTCATTTAGTGCAAAATGTATCAATATGTGAGTTAGGCACTCAACTTTTGACATATAGGCAAACTCTAGTTTATTTTACAGCTGAAATTACTTACTGAGAATAGTGCAGTTGCTCGTCATTTTATTGAAGCTTGTTGTCCTCTTTTAAATTTATGTTTATAAAATAAACCTTATGCAAACTGTCTAAGACTGTTTTTGAACTCTTACCCTAGCAGGTAAAGTCTCAGGTTTGTTTTTTTTATCTTTATGAGGTTTTACTAATCCCATAGGTTTGTAGCAAAGGAAATGTATACACCTATAGACAAAAACTTCAGGGCAAGATTGTTTAGCCAAGAGGGGAAATTGGGGATGTCAGCAAGTTTGTAGGGTTCCCCTCTCTTGAATATTACTTAGTGGCACATTTTTTACTCATTTTTTTGTTATGACAAAAATAAATTATGTTTATGGAAGAATTCTTCCATATATGTTTCAGTTGCAACCCTGATTTTGTGAGCCAGTGGAATATGCAGTTTATGGTTGAACCGACAGGTGGCAGAAGCTTCGTTCTGCCATTAGAAATTAGAAGAAGAAGAAACTTGATGAAAGTAGGAAACAGAGCAGAAGAAGAAGAAGAAAACAACACGGAGAGTTGGTTGTCTGTTAACAAGGTTGCACCTTTATCTTTCAGGTATGTATGACATTTAGTTTATCTTAATGTGAACCAGAAGTTAATTTGAACACTTGCAGGACTCGTTTCGTGTTGGAAACAACCCCGCAGGAAGAGGAAACAAGCGCTAATAATAACAGCTAGTCCACTCACTGTTTGCAGCCTTATCATTATTAGCTGCTGTCGAGCTTAAACAGACGTTAACGCTAAAAGTACAGACTGAGTTGTCGTTTCATCGAGGTGCAGGACTTTATTTGGTTCAAATCTTCCTTAGATAGTCAGCTTCAGATGAGCTAATTTTAGCCACGTTTGTCATCATGCTTCCTCATGCTAACAGGCTGGCTGCTGCTAGCACACGACGTCTGTCGTAAAAACAAACAACTGCTTCATCCTGTCAGGTTAAAATGACATAAATACAAATATGTATTTAACTGTACGGTGGCTTCTTGTTTCTGCTCACTTTCTATTTGCACTTTATAAACGACATTATTAACTCATAAAAGCTGCGTGTCCTTGTGTCTAGCTCGTTTTTAAGCTTGAGTAAAATAACAGAGAGCACATATTTTGTTTATCGCTGCATGTGACCATTTGTCTTATCGATCTCTTCGAAACAACCTTCTCCTTCATGACGTTGCATCTGTTTATGAAATATTCATATACTTTGAGTTGCAGAACTACTGGCACGAAATTTTCATTTTTAAACGTGCCTCAAAGTGCCTGTAGCAACAAATTTTCATGATCAAAATGAATGCATTGTTGGAAAGATACCATTAATAACATATTGCAAAGTGATATGTCACGCCACATAAACAGTTGTTGAGATGTTCACATGCACAGTAACAGGAAGTGATGACAGAGAAATCCCTGCATGCAAACAAAGCATTGCTACATTGACTAACAACACAAACTGTGGAGAAGAATCTGATGTTTCTGTAGATTATTTTGAGTCACTATCAGACAGATGAAGAAGCGTCAGGATTAAAAAAAAACCAGGGAGTTCACCTTTTTAAAGAATTCCACTTTGTTGTCACTTCATGTCAACGCCAAGTTCAAAACAAAAAATATGCCAGTTCAATGACAACATGGGTAAAATCATGTGTTTTGTGCAAAATTTTATCAAATATTAAGATGTTTTCTTTCATTTTATGTAGTTGTAGAAAGTGTCAGTCATTTAACTTATTAGACTAACTCATATTTTCTGTCCATCAGTTTTCAGATTAAATGTTTTTAGCTGTACTTTGTAGAATCTTTGGTAAATGTTTTGAGGTATAAATGTTTTGTGGAGTGAAAGTGAATTTTACAAGAAAAAAATTTTAACATAATTTTATACTTTACTACATGTCACGACTTCCATGGTATGAAGATTTATGAAAAATGGACTGAACTCATAAAAACATAAAATAAAATTGGCTCTAAACTTATATAGCACCTTAAGCCCCATTGGACCCCAAAGCGCTTTGCACTGTCATTCACCCACAGATTCATACACTGATRGTGATAAGCTACACTGTAGCCACAGCTCCACAGCTGCACACTGACAGGGACGGGGCTGCCATGCAATGGCACCACAGAACCCTCTGACCACCATCAGTGGGCAAGGCGGGTGAAGTGTCTTGCCCGAGGGCACAACGACTGAAACGGCTGGAAGACTAGATTACAGAATGTTATAAAATCCAATGTTTGTTTAACATGCATATTTTTTCTCTCTCCATATAATAATAAACTTTTCAGAGCTTTGCTCAGACTGCTTTGTTTTATCTTGTAACTTATTTGTATAAAAGAAACTGGTACAAAGAATTATTGCTTGGGTGGCATTATAGATACAGTTTCTACATTTAATGTGTTTCGGTTTCTGTTGTGAATAAAATGCCTTAAAAGTCACAGTGTTCAGTAACATTTTATAATATTACAACCAAGAAATARAAAAAAAAATCAAATAAATTACTGTAGGATCAGTGAGCCTGAAATTTCTGTTTTATTACTTTTATGTTCTTCTTTTTATTTTTGAAGGTTACAGGTTGTGTGCTGTTGCTTCTAATTCACACTGATCTTGTTATTTTCAGGTGACTCCCGTCCACCATGTGAGCTGAGTGAAATCATTTTGACACTTTAAAGTGACTCGTTGTACCTGAGTCTTTCTGTGATGAACGCCAGTCTCACTTCAGTGGGAAACTGTTTGCTGCTGATTATGGATTTAGGAAATCCGGTTCTGTAAAACTCAAGCTTTGCAGCTTTTCATTCTGGCATCTGTACGGAACATGGAGAAAGAAACGGCTGAGAAAGAGATGGAGGATGAGGAGGTCTCTAATAGCGATTTGGCCTCAGAAGCCAGAGAGGCCGATGAGCACATGCAGGATGACATAACATCCCATCCTAAATCTCAGGAAACTCCAAATTTATTCACTGAACAAGACTCTGAAGGTGATGAAGAAGCAGAAGATAATGAATCCACAGAGGCTAAAGAGGATATGGAGGAGGTTCTGGATGAGTTTGAGCCCGACAGGAGGGAAGATTATGAGAACGCGCAGGTTATAAATCAAGAAGAGGATGAAGCTGCAAAGGAGCAGCACATGAATGGAGAGTCTGGCTGGAGGAGCATTGGGAGTGGAAAGAGGTGCAAATTAAAAGGCGGTGGATCCTTGTTTGAGCAAAGCGGTCAGGGTGCATTTTCTTCCTTTCAGAGAGGCAGTGTTATGTCAGGCGGCAGTCGACACAAGCAGACTCGCAGACGCAACCATCACCACCATCTGCAGAGCCGGGGTCGCAGGAGGACGGGCAACCAACTTTTCTTAGCTTTCAAAGAGATGCTTTCAGAATCTCTCAGCTTCTGGTGCATCTCATGCGTCCACATGTTGATTGAGATTATTGTAACTTTAACACACAATTGTGGAGTAGGTGTGGAGATGGGAGTTGTGAAAGTTTGCAACTTTGGGCAGCAGCTTTTAATGAAGATCAGCGATGTGCCTGGAATGAAAGCAGATGTCAGCCGGGTGTTGAAATGGATCAAATCCACAGGAAGTGACTTTGTGGACAGAACTGCGAGGTTTATGAAGTGGGTAAAGTCAGCTGTCTTGACTTGCTTCGGACTTTCCTGCGCTTTAGTGATTCTCAGCTTCCAGTGGGCAAAGAGGATGGTGGTCCGCATTGGCGGAGAAAGGGGGAAACGCTATTGGACGGTCTTTCAGGAGTCAAGGTTTTGGAAGAGACTGCTGTCCCTGCTGGACAGAGTCCGGAGGAGGTTCAGGAGAAGTGCTCACACTCCTCCGTATTCACCCGAGTCACCCGGCAGAGCAGGAAGAGGGGAGCCAGTCCAGGAGCTGGAACGACTTTTGGCTCTGGCTGAAGTACCAGAGGGCGAGCTTGACCCGTTTACAGTGCTGGGTGTGGAGGTCCACGCCACGGAGACGGAGCTGAAGAAGGCCTACAGACAGCTGGCTGTCCAGGTGAGGCAGGGATGGGAGAGAATCAGAAGAACTGCATACTTTTTTCTTTGCAAAAAARAAACCAAACCAAAAAGTGTTTTCTTATTTTACTTGAACGACCTTCTGTCCTCTGTTTGTTCTCTTTCAGGTCCATCCAGACAAGAACAAACACCCACGAGCTGGAGAGGCATTCAAAGTTCTGAGGGCGGCCTGGGATATCGTCAGCAACCCTGAAACACGACGAGAGTATGAGCTGTAAGTGCAAACATAAAATAATGTAGTCATGTGACCCCAGAACAACAAACACACATGTTCTTTTTAGTCTTTGTTCAAATTCTCAATTGAAAATTATTTCTTTTTTATGACAAAACCTTCTGAGTTTAGCTGGTTTAAAAAAAAAGCTTTGATAAAAAACCTCAAGTTGGAAATTTATTCTTCGTTCAGTGAGATGAATCATTTTTTTAAAGTGGGATTGTATTGACTTCTGTTTAATAGTAAATGTCTTACCCGTTAGAAGAATTTCATTTTGGAGGTTTCCTTAAAATTTACCATGAAAAACAACACGGACATCAAAGGTTTCATTTCAGTTCGAATAAATGCTTCATTATATTTTCTTTAGACAAAAATGTAAAAGTGGTAGTGGTATTTGCTTTAACTTGTATGAAACTTTTCAGGTTTGTTTTAGACTCTAAAACATAGAGGATGGAAGTTGTTGCTACTTTGAGTAAGGATTAGTTTGAATCTCAAATTTAAAAAAATCTCTGAATCTCCACATAAAATTACTCTTATTGCGTCTGCAGGTAAGATACTTATTACTCACAACTCAACAGTCAAAAGACTGAAGTTAACCTTTTATAGATGTTTATCTGCGTGTGATGTTTCTGCTCTGGTATCATCAGTCACTTGTTTCATTTCCTCACAGGAAGCGCATGGCAGCAACCGAGCTCTCCAAGTCAATGAACGAGTTTCTCACTAAGCTGCAAGACGACTTGAAGGAAGCCATGAACACTATGATGTGCACAAAGTGTGAAGGCAAGCACAAGTATGTTGCTCCACACCCAACATCCCTTCACTGCATCCGTGTCATGTCCTTAAATGAGCACCGTTACTCATCCTGTAGCTGAATCACGTCTTGTGCAGTAGACCTTCACCTCTGTGGTATTTTCTTTACGTCCCGTGTGTGCAGGCGGTTTGAGATGGACCGAGAACCCGCTGAAGCCCGCTTCTGTGCTGAATGTAACCGTTGCCATAGCGCTGAGGAGGGAGACCTGTGGGCCGAGTCGAGCATGTTGGGCTTACGCATCACGTACTTCGCTTGTATGGAAGGAAAAGTATATGATATAACAGGTGAACAACAGCTTTTATTTATCACTTTTCTGGCTTGTTCCTTTGTAGCACACGCTAAATACCTCCTCTAGCTTTCAAAGACCACTTGGTATTTGGGTTGTGATGTTTTCACAGTTTGAATACAAAAAAAAACTTCTTGACTAATTGTTTCCATCCAGAGAACTGAAAGTTGAGACTTTATATATTACTTGAGCTTTAAAAGCTCACATTGATGTAAACAAAGATGTTGAACGTCACATCTGGCTTTAACAGACACAAAAATGTGGGAGGAAGTCCCAAAACCAGACATTTTGGCTGTGAGTGAGGAAAGTTTGTGTGAGATGTTTAAGTTTTTACAGTTGTGGTAAAAAGGAAGTAYAAATTCTTTGAGTTTTAACATTTCATGTACAGGATGTAAAAGTCATTTGGTTTTAATCTTGTAAATGTGTTTTATAAATAAACATTACCTCGGTATTACCTGTAAATAACTTAGTTTATTAAGGTTTGGAGGTATTTGTTTCTGCACATCCAGTGTTGTATAAAGTACCTCAAAGTGATACCAAAAAACTACATTGGTAAATGTTAAAGTCTCATTTAGGAATATTACTTAAAAGTATCTGATATTTTTGTACTTAAGTATTAAAAGTAAAAGTATTAATTTAAAATGAGCAGTTAGTTTTACTGTAATGACATTTATTAGGAGGTGACCTCCCCAAACAATACAGAAATAACTATATTGTATTAAAATAATTAAATTATGTTAAATTTAGGATGCACTAGTCCAGCTGTTTCAGTTTATATACATATATCAAGGCTGCACAAACCTTTTCCCCAAAATGAAAATCTATCCGAGGGCTGCGGTCAAATGCAATAATATAAATGAAATACAAATACTTCTTAAGTGCAGTCCTTTTATTTTAATGATTATGTCCTGCTGGAGTGTGACATGATTTGTTTGTGTACAAACTAATACAGTATCAGAATTTTATATATTTATACATCTCATTCAACCACAATTAAGTTCACTCTAGGAGGCACAATTTATATGCAGTGAATTTATATTTTCACAAGCTGGAATGAAAACAAGCAAAAATGAAATAAAAGTAACAACTTTCTACTTGCATTTTTAAAAAAATGTAGGGAGTAGAAAGTACAGATAATCGTGTGAAAATTTAAGAAGTAGATGTAAAAAAGTAGTCTGAAAAATAAATCACTCAAGTAAAGTACAGATACCCAAAAATCAAGTACAGTAACAAAGTATTTGTATTTAGTTACTTTACAACTCTGTGCACATCCCTTTTAAAAACCCACCCAAACATTTCAGTCAGATTGTGGTCTGAACTTTGACAGGAAATCTTTCAACACTTCGACTCTTTTCTTTTCCACTTCAGCAAAGTGCCAAGACTTATAGTATTTTAGCCTTTCTTGTTGAAAAAGCTGCTTTTTTTGCCTTTATTTTGATTGTTGTCAATAAGTGACTTTCTGTGATGTCATGTTTCAGAGTGGGCCGGCTGCCAAAGAATAAGCATTTCCCCCGACACGCACCGTGTACCGTATCACATCTCCTTCGGTTCAAAGAACAACAGCAACGCCACTCGACACAGGTACAAAATGGACACAAATGAGTTGATTAGAACCAGGGGTACTCCTGCCATCACCTTTTTTAATATATTTGAGAAATATTTTTRTTTTTTAAATGCCCAAGTTTGGCTGTATATGTTTTCTGTTCTTGTTTCCTCTTGCTCTGCAGGATTTTGGAAAATTGAAGACCTTAGGAGGCATTAAAGCATTAAATTTGAATCTCAGTGGCTTTTAAAAAAAAGAAAGAAAAGATGAGATGAATGGTTTTGGAAATAGGACTCACTCATCAGTGATTTCTGCTATGAATTATTACTGTTTTATTGGCAGTGGAGCAACATGCAGCAGAACCTGTTTAGTAATTGTTTCCGGTTGCTCGGTGTGCAGTTGTTGGAAGATTGGGTGATTTCTGCAGAAATTTGTTGTTGCTCAGTGTATTTAAGCTCTTTACACACATTTGCCACCACCATCTGTGTGTGAAGAATAAATATTCTGCAGCTGTTCGCTCTGTAGAGCCTGTTTGTTGTTCCTGCCTAATATAAATGTTGCTAATTGTACAAATGTAAACTGGAGTTGACCTCAGTTCTGCCTGAGTGTTCTCAGCCTGTGGTATTGTAGATTTGAATGTAATGTGATAACAGAGCAGCGTCAGCTTGTTCCATTAGCAGATCGTACAACTAAAATTAAACAAGGAACGTAGTCAACTAAACAGTCCAGCGTCAAAAAATAAAGGTTATATTTTTAAATTACTTAAAAAATGAAACATAGCTTTAAATACTAACACATGTAAAAAGTGCCTCAGTTAAATGGACTTCTTTAAAGTTCATTTATCTAAAGTAATTCACCAGAACATGCATGATTCTGTCACATTCAGTAAAATGTGAAGGCTGTGTGAAGTGTAGACTGCTCTGATTGGATCTTTGTTTTTAACACAGGTTCTGTAATGACTGGCATGTTCATAAACATTTAATAATTATAAATAATTCAGGTTTATTGAGGTTGTTTGCCCTGACTTAGTTACATAAATAGAAAACTGAAGGGTGTGCCTGACTGATTCAATATTTACATCAGTGTTTTGATTATAGTTTATTATATTCTATGCAGTTTATTTCATGACATGAAGCTGATTCATGTTCTGTTTACTGTGGGAGCATCTGTCACTGATTTAAAAAAAATAATCCTGTACGACATTTGTATTTTTTCAGAAAAATAGGTTTATTTTTATAGCTGATTGCAGCTTTTTGTTATATTAGTTTTGTATTAATTCCTTGTTGTTGAACAGTCATCCAACTGGCAGACATTAGGTTTTGTTTAAGATATTTAATTTTTTAGTTTTGCTATATTTAAAATGTTCACAATACATTTTTTTTTCTGTTTTCCCAGAATTAGTCTTGGATCTGTGTTCAAACACGTTCTGTTCACAACCTTCCCTCTCTTAGTAGCACCTCATTTATTTTATGTATGGATGCAGTCACGTGACTGTCTGTGAAACCAGAATGAAAACATAGCTTCACGTTAAGCCACTAAGAACCCTCCCTCTCTGAACTTTGTGTTTTTCATTGCAGAACCCCCTCAGAGCACGCCAGTGGACCTTCGAACCCGGCCGACCTGCAGGACTTCTTCAACAGAATGTTTAARGGCGGACCGCCCAGTGACATGAGCGCCAATGGGAGCTTCTTTCCCTCAGGTCCGCCGCCTCATCACCCGCCCGGCGCCGGAGCGAGCCCCTTCCCCCCTGCCCCGGGTCAGACAGGTTTCTACATGCCGGGGTCGCAACGGCCTGATTCCAACGAGTCTTGGGCCGAAAGCGGCAAGCCCCCCAGAAGGAGAAAAAAGGTCCGCAAACCCTTCCAGAGGTGAAGTCTGTTTACTTTGTGTCAAAACAGCATCGTGTGTGGGGGTGGGGGTGGGGGGCACACAATAAACACAGGGCCATGCTTGTCTCTCACCTGCCTGTTGGCGTGCCAAGATCTGAGAGGATTCGTGAGTCTGAGGAGTCAGATCAGCCAGAACAGAGACTGAAGAGGAACCTTTTGAGTGAGAGTATTTAAAGCTGAAGAAGTGGCAGTGACGGTGCTTTACCTTTTTATTTCACCTTAATATGTTGTCAGTCTTACAGATGACTGTAGCCTTTAAAACTGAAGTCCTAACGATGCTGTAACAAAACTGTTTGTTTTTATAACTTCCTGCCAAATCCACCGTCGCATGATTTATTTACTTTAACGCTTCAGTTTTCTCACTAATGTTTTGTACAAGTTGCGGTTGATGAGAGGCTTACGTTTGCTGAGATTTATCGCTCGCTATTCCAGAGAAATGAAGATAAGAATCTGGGCAGCTTCACTGTGTCAGTGTTTGTGTGTGAATCTGCTGAGTTGATCAGAACCAGCCAAAGCAGACAAGTCTGAACCACACTGACAATGACTCAGCATTAATAGCGAAATTCACAAGTTTTTACGTTCAGAACATCGTTAACATTTCTTTCATTTTGCTTTTGCTCTCGTCGGTGAAATCACCTAAAAGCACCTCGTTTATGCGATTGCAAGTAATTAGGGACTAAATTAGCATCTTTCTTGGGCGGTGCAACGATTTTGTTGGTCTTGCTGGTGTTTCCAAAAAATTTTATTCAACATTGCTTAAAAGATAAAACTGCCTTGTACATTTCTTTTTCTCTTTTCAGTAGATAAATGTAGCTTTTTTAATGCGATCTTTGTCTTTGCCTTTTTTTTTTGTTACTTTAAAAACCTTTTAAATGATGAAACACTTCTATCACTATAATCAGGCTTAAGTCATCATTTAAACTAAAATTTTAAATTAAACTAAATGAGAATTGTGACAAACTTTAAAGAAAATATAAAAGTTTTACAGATTTGTAAAGCTGCTTGAACTGTAAAGGTTGATATCTGATAGTTATAAATCAGAAGTAAAGCTCATGAATGTTTTTTGCACTAATCTGATCTTTGCTGAATGTTCTCTTTTCTTTGTGAGCACTATTTAGTTTTTACGCTAAAACACAAGATTAAACAAAGCAAATTGTTTTATTGCTGCTGCAGCTGATTTTCAAACCCCTGTTATTCTCCAAAGTCCAGCTTGTTGGGTTCAATTCGTTCCAGACGTTTCCATCAGTTTCTCATGTTGTGCTACAAATGCTCATTTAACTCCCAGTTCATGTGGTTCAGATTTGAATTGTCACGGGTTTGCAGAAAATTTAATGGAAATCCTGATTTAACCAGTGTTCAATTTGAAATCTTGAAGAATTTTTTTTTTTGCCTAGAAATTACTTTGATTTCAAGTGCAGCTTCCATAAAGAAACAGCTGCTGTTTATGTTTTGGCTTGAGGATTTGGAGAGTTTAACGATGAGGAAATTGTTATGAGGCATTGGATAAAGGGTATTTTTTTTAATATATTGGCATTTGCTCAGAAGTTTTGTTTTTTTGTGTGTTGTCCTTTTTTTTGTCTTAATTTGCACACCCACCACTTTCATGAACATAAGAGGGATTTTGAACTGTCATCAGCGATTTAGCCAAACCAGACTCCTCCAGCTGCAGCTGAGTAGGAGGTGTAGCTCACTAAGCTAACAGCTCACTTGCAAATGAAGATATTTGTGTTGGTCAAATCCCAGAAAATATCTTCTGCTTGCACAGCCATTACACTCGGAGCAAAACACGGTAACGTTATTGTGATATTTTAAGGCACAAAGTGTTGCAAATGGTTGTTTTGTTGCTCGTTGAAACTGGAACGCTTTACTTCTCTTTTGTATTTGGTCGGTTTCCCAGACATGAAGTGAATTAGTAAAATTTGAAGACAAATCAATCCAGAATTGAGTTTGTTTTTGCACAATTAAAGCGATTGCCACAAGAAAAAAAAAATCTGTAAAATTTATCTGGAATAATCTCTGTCCAAAACAAAACAAGAGCTCTGTGCAGTTTTAGCTTCATATCAAATGTCATTTTTTAAGTTCTTGTTTGATGCTGAAGAGCCACGCCGAAGTTTGTTTTTCCACCTTTTTGTGACTTGAGAATGTGAAGTTCTGTGTGTTGCAAAGGTAGCAGTTCAGCTTTGAGAAATATGTGAGAGTCCACTCTTCAGAAGTGTTTTTGTTCCTCAACAGAATATGCAGAGTTATTGCAAAAAATAAAATAAAATTAAAAAAAAAATCAGACAATCATCAGGGGTTTTTTTTGTAGAGAATTAAGAAGTGAGTTCTTGACTGATGAAACAACAATGTTGGGTTTCTTTTCCCTGCTCTCTCTGGTTTTCAGAAATAAAGATGATTTCTTATATCTACACTGTTTCTTTTTCTGCTTATTCATGCATAACTTATTCCAGTTTATACTATGGCATAAAGAAGTTAACACATTCACTGGCAGAAACTTAATTTGACTACAGAACCTTGTAGATTAGTGTTGGAGTTTAAAATTCAAATACTGCATTAATGGTTATATAGCCCCTCCCCCTTTTGATTGACACTTGTTTTGAACAACCGGGTTGATCTGGGCTCCCCAGAGTCAAATATATCATCCGAGTGCTGACTTACTTGGTATAGTTAGAGTAACTGTGACTGCTGAGGTTGTCAGTGTTATAGAGAGACCAACCTTTTTGTTGAAGAACAGCATCTAGTTTAATTTTGCTTTACTTTTTCAAAGTGCTTTAGTAAATTTTTTGGGGATATTTAAAGGTCTTGGAACGGTTTCTGTACAGAGTAAGGACTTGAACCTGCTGACAGATGTTTAAACAATATTTGAAACCTGTTGCAGAAGTACCATCATTTCATCTGGCCTAATTCTGAGTTTTCCTGTGAACACACCGTAAAAGAACTCTGTTTTACTTCATTCTTTTTCCTCCCTCCACTCTCTGACCTTTACTCGACTGTTATGGCAATGAAAACTAAGGCAGGGCACCTGTAAATGTGCTCCTTACAAGGAGTTGTTTCAGAGAGCTGGAGTCCATCAGGACTTCATCTTTTGTCTTATTACGGCTGGATTCAAAACCAGAAACTTAAAAAAAAAGTCTGCTGTCCCAAACAAAGCAGCAGCTGTGGGTCAGTTTGAAGTAATTGTGTTTGTTTAATTACATTAAATTGTGTAGTTTCATAGCTGTCCAGCAGCCAGAGCTCCTTCAATATTAACATCTCTTTCTCCAACACAAACGACTCATCAACATCTATTACAGTCCCTATAAAAAGCATTCACCCCCTTTGCATGTTTTATTATTACCATAAACCATGGTCAAAATAAATTAACCATTAATTTATGACAGCAATAAAACCATAAAACATCTACAGAGGTGAGCACTTTTAATTGGCATAGCCTCTAACGTTAAGACAAATCATCAGAATAACTTTTTATTTCACATAAAAGAACAAAAGAAAAGCTGAAAACTAAAAAAACTTGAATACACTCATACATCACATTTCCTGCTCTGCACCATGAAAACGATGCAGTTAGAACAATAAAGTAGATGATGCTATATTTTACCCAAGTTTGCTGACACATAGTTTTCATTAGATTTAAATAAGTCAGAATATTTAATAAGTAACGTTGTTAAGTGGTTTGTACATTGTGGGACAGAGTCGCAGCAAAATAAAGTTTGAAGTTTCAGATCTTTCCTCCCCAACTTGAACAGCAGCAAGCAGCCTTTTCTGATTTACAACGGTTTTTCTGCAGCATAATGAGGATTAATCCTCACTTGTCCTAATTATGGCAACAGTGTTTTCACATTAAAATCTTCATTTATCAGCTTCCAGTTATTAGGCTACAACCTGCTTAAGTCTTGGGAGGTTAGATTGATGTATTTTGGGTAAAAAAAATAATAAAAAGTGTCAAATAATGCATGGAGCATTCTTTTCTTAAAAAACTAAAACAGAAGGTCAGACCAGAACCACATTGTTTTAGTAGCTTTATGCTTTGTAAAGTCAGGCTAAAAGAAGAAAGCCCTCTGAACTGCATATTTAAATTCTCACATCCCATTTTTTAAATATATTTATAACTAACTTCAACACTTACACTATTATATTTGACCTGGTTTGTGACTTTTTTTTATACTTTTAGAATAAATCCATCAAACACCTATTATTAAGGATCATTGCACTCTGTTACTCAAAAATAAACCTACTTTTTTGTACTGTAACACATTGTTTACCACTTGTAGCATCTTCAGCTTGGAATATATTCACACTCGCACAAATATTAAATATATATTACAAAATATCTATTCTGTTACGATTAAAATGTGTTGAAACGTTTACGTTTCTGCTCTTTGATGCGGCTCATTTAAGTGTCACATGAGCATCAGGGATATGTGTCATGTGGCTAAAGGCCCTGTCACCAACATTTTAGACAACTTGTGAAAATTTTATCCAACTCTAAAGATGTCTACATTGAAAATGGAATTAATAAAATCTACTGGAACTCTTTGGATGTATACATACTGTGATGGTAGTGATATGATTGAATCGATGAGTGAAAAAAATGTTCATAAGTTGGCAAAAGTTGTCTAAAACATTATAGTTTTGGACATCTTAGCATGACAGGGCCTTTAGTTGTGTTAATGCACACTATGCATCCATTAAAAGGCACCATGCTAATTGTTTTAATTTTACACTTCCTAAATAAGCCTGAGGACATCAAGTCTTCAGAGATGTTGATGGTGGTGTTTATCTGGCTGTCAGGTCACATTCAGCACATCTGTTGAGGACGGTACTAAAAAACAAAATACTTTGTCTCACACATCTTCAGCTAAAATACTGTAGAAAATATGAACTTAACATTAAAATCTTTCACCTACAGTTTTACTTTCAGAGACGTGAGGATCCTGCGGAGCTGAGAAATGTCTCGATACGCCACCAGGCCACCGTGGTTGGCCCAGCGCTCTGCTCCGCTATGCTTAGTGGACGGCTGGTGGTAGGTCAGTTCTGTTTCCTGGCCCTGTGCTCCACAGTCCGACTGCAGGCTCTTAGTCAAGTCCACCACGCCGCCTCCGAGGGCTCGGAGCAGAGCGTGGGGGGCGCAGGAGTCCCACTTGAAGGTGCTCCCCTCTGACAGGACGTAGGCGTGAGCCAGGCCCTGGATGACGCACAGGATCTTGTACCCGGCTCCGGACGCGTACATCAGTTTGTCGGGGCCGCACAGAGAGGTCAGCGCCTCCTTTACCGCCTGCTTCTCGCTGGAGCTCAAGACCACAGACGGACCGCGGTCCTCCTCTGCTCCGCCACCGGGCCGCGACACCGAACAGACGTTGACACCGCCGCAGGACACGCCCCAGTACTGCTTTCCCCTCCACCTGAGAATGTAAAAAAAAAGATCGTTCAGGAGAAAAATGTGCAACAACAACRAAAAAGGAGTTTTTCTGGAGTCTCAATGCAAAAACCTTTGAGACAACGTGGAACAGAAATACAGAAAGTGCCATCAAATTTGTGTAAAGTCTTAAAAAAAAGTTAGAATACTGATAAAWGTTTAGTTTTTTTTTCTTTAACAACCAAAAAGCAGACATGAGCCTTCTGAGAACGACTGTCCCATGAAGACAATCAGCCATGACTAAACCTGCGAAACGAGGTTTTTCTAAGAGAAATATTTGTGAGCTGGTTGAACTCACCCGCCGCCTGCTGGGTCTTTGTGGTGGAAKGGCTGGTTAATTACACCCATGACAGGTTCACCTGTGCTGCGCAGGTAAACCCCGATCAGAACCAGCGCACAGTGCAGACCAGAAGGACACAGGTGCCCCTCCTTCAGCACCTCCTCACGACCCTCTATATACTGACTGGTGGCATCTTGTTTAGAAAAAAAAAAWTTAAGACACTAACGTTCATCTCTTGTAAATCTGAATTAGATTTCTGATGAGACGTTTTCTACCTATGGGGTCGATCCAGATGCCGAGCTCGGACGGCCTGAGGGGTATCGTCATCCTGTCGGCGTTGGCGTCGATGGTCTCGGGGTCTTGGTGGATGGCTTGAGCCAGCAGAGACGCGGCTGTGTGGTCGCCGTCTAACACCGTGGCCAGCAGTGTCGCCGTTTCCTCCTCGGTGCTGCACACAGTAACCGTCACGCTCTCACCTGTTGACACAGCGTCAGCGTCCTGACACATCGACTGTTTGAACAGCACGACTCAGTCAAATGTTTGAACAGGGGCAAGACGAAGCGTTTGCCCTTTGTTCAGCCAGAACACAAATACATCAAACCTATTTTTAGCGCTAACTGTATGTTTAAATATTACTATGGAATTACCAAGTCCATTTTCAAACTTGTTGGACTCCTCTCCGTGGATGAAACCTGCCATTTCAGGGAACTGCACAAAGCAAGACACATAAATTAAGTCCAGATCCACTTCATTCAATCTGCAGGATCACCCCCCACCCACCTGAGCGCCCACGTCGTGCCGGATCATCTCCTGGATCACCACATCTGCCAGGGTCTTGAAGTCCTGCACAAACTTCTTGTTCTTGTCCTCTCCCGTCTTCTCCTGCACGAGGAGCTGGAAAAGGAGGGCCTCCTGTCTGCAGACCCGAGCCACGTTCGCAGCCTTCTCTGACACCCGGAGCAGCAGTCTCAGAAGATCAGCCATGCCTGGACCAAAAAAAAAAAAAAAAAAAAAAAGAGGCCAGGAGGCTGATGAAAACTGTGTGATAAAAAAAAGAGAGGAGGAGGGAGGTCAGATTTGCACGATGTGTTAATAATAGCCTCAAAATGAAAACAGGGCATCTCTGGAAAAAGAACAGAGTAAAACCAAATCCAAATAAAACCTGTAAAATTATTTATACCTTTGACAAACAACCTATAGAGGAGTTTCCAGTCACTCCACAATGAGATAAAAATACAAGTGTTTATAAGATAAACTGTTCATTATTCTATTATTACAATAGCACAACCTCTGGAGATGGAAACATCCCTCCATGACACCTAAATATTTAAATTTCAAATCATGATTTATTTTGACCTGTTGTTGTCCACAGAGCCACTTCTACACTCCTCTGCTCCCCGAGGATCATTTTAAAACAGCATACAGCACAAGAAGCATTAAAGAGGGAAAACAACTGGTGAAGAAAAAACAAACCTTTACCAGCTGTGAGTGACACACCACCTTCTCTCGGTCGCTGTGTTTTCCTGTCAGACACTGAACGCAGACCAGCTCTCAGTCAGCGGAAGGGTTCGGAGACGATGCGGACGCTCAGAAAAATTCAAATATTTAAGCTTTTAGTTGATTCTGACAGCTGTCTGCTCTGGTTTCTGTACGCTGAAGGACGCCCTGTTCATGTCTGGAGAATAGGAGGTGCGGACCAACGACGCAGGCGGACGGAGAGGTTTAACGTAGGACAACCCCGGAAGTGGAGCGCGGTGCGTTCACGTGTCGGTGAAAAAAACAAAACAAAACTGAAACTTAATCATTTTACGTGTGTCTTGTTTAAATACATATAATAACGGAAGTATTATGTTCCAAATTTGTGTGTTAAGCTGTGTAAATACAAAAATGCATTTGTAAAATTTCATTTTGTGAGGGAAATGAATATCCAAAGCAACCTGGCTCTATT